GGTGAAGATTTTTTCCCACATTGTGGGTTGCCAGAGACTATGTTAAGCTAACATCCCTGGACCTTTTTATTTTTTATTTTGAGACAAGGTTTCGTTAAGTCACTAAACTGCCCAGGCTGGGCTCAAACTTATGATCCTACTGCCTCAGCCTCCCAGAGTGCTGGGATTACAGTTGTGCTCAGAAAGAATGTATTTTGGTCTTAAACTTTAGAAAATTTTACAAGGTAAAAATTTCAAAATTAATAGCTTTTAATATTATGAACAGTGCTGGGGATTTAGCTCAGTGGTTCCGCTGACTGCTTCGCACGCACAAGGACCCAAGTTCGACCCCCAGGACCAAAAAAAAGAAAAAAAAAAAAGAATTTTTCGAAGACAAAATTCTGAAGAATTAGCAGTTAGGCAAATTAATCCTCGATGTAACTACTGGGAAAAAAAGATGATGAGGTACTAGCTTATTAACCATTTGTTTCATTACCCAAACTGATCATTTTTATGTTTAAAATGAGCTTTACAAAGGAAATAAAAAGCATATAAGGCTCAACTCATATAATAAATTCAAAACCCTACAGTATTACAACAGGAAGAACCCACAGTAAACTGTTCCAAGTTCAGAAAATAAAATAGAACAAGATTCAAGCACAGGTTCATGATTCTCCTAAATCTATTCTTTTTCATTATGGAAACAAATTCCCCTTAACTCACATTAAAAGAAAACACACTGATCTTATTTTTACAAATTCACCTTTCACCTGAGTATCATCCTTGGCCTTGTACTCAGTGCTCTTTATGGCCAATTCCACACCGTAGCCAGAGAGGTGAACTGGCTCCTTCCTGGGATTCTGCAAGCAGAGCAATTATTTCACTATCACCACCTAACTTGTTATGCATTACAATGTGCTCAACACGGCTTACAATGTCCCCAGCACTGCATCTAGTAGACATTATCTGGGATTGTGCAATCAAAACATCACTTTTTACAGAAACTATGTATAAAAGAGAGTTTACTAAACACCAACAATTACAGCAGCATGTACCTACTATGAAAATACTCAATTTTTAAAAAATCAATTCAAAGTTTGTTTTTCTCTCTCTAAAAACAATCCTAGTTTTGTTTACATTTTGTATCTTGTCCCAACTGTGGAAATAAGAATTCCCAGGTAGAAGTAAAATCGGGGTTTTTCACAATGGATGCTTGAAAAGGCAAGGGTTCCAAACCATATGAGGAAATAGAGATTGAGAAAAAGAAGGTGCAGAACATAAATAGCAAGTTTGAAAACTGGTGCGGTCTCAAACCTGAAGTGCTCTGTTGGGATTCACCACCATCGTAAATGACGATGGCCTTTCAAAATTTTTAACCTTTAATATTAGCAATGGGCCTGGGGTTCAGAGGGGAACTAGTTTTCAAGAACTGTACTTTGATAAATTCTGTTTCTGCTAATTCAAAGTGTCATTTAAATTTTTTGACTTGTATAGTCTAATATTGACTAAATTTATAATAATTATAAATATTTTAAATGCTAAGTGTTACAAGCTTAATTCCAAAGCAATTCTGCTTGATTTCACCTCTTTTTAGAAATCATTTCCCTCTCACCAAATGAAAGGGTGCCAAAAACAATAAAGAAAGAATAAGAGTTGAAAAGAAACTGAATTCAAGAATCAATTCTGTATTATCATGATTACATTAAATTTATTTATTTTTATTTATTTATTTTTTTTTTTATGGTACTGGGGATCAAACTCAGGATCTTATGCTCCCTACCCAGGCATCCGTTCCACTGAGCTAAATCCCCAGCTCTATTTTTTTATTTTTTAAGGTTTTTTTTTTTTTT